AAAGGGAATACTCTTAAGGGCCACTACCACTGGGGTTTATTTGAGCTAACGAAGTCAGTTCCATGTGTCGACTAGCTCTGCTATGCCTACAGTTAAGATTTTTTAACTTGCTGCCCTATGGGGGGAAAACTGGTTTTGGAGATGGATCGGCTACGTCAGTTTTCTCTGCTAGCTCAGATAAACCCCAGTGGGAATGGCACTTTAGCAATTCCTGAAGAATACATGACTGCTAATAGAAATAGAATGGCATTATACATTTTTGTGTGAACTCCCAATGAATCTAATGCTCTTAACTGCGATTCAAGTTGATTATGCAAAGATGAAAGAAAACATAATGACTATGTGTTTTTTATTACCGACGATCATTCTCTAACATAAAGTTCTACTAAATGATCATCCTCCCCAAACCTGGCTTTCAGACTCAATCATTTTTGGATAATTTTTAGCAGTCGCTGGATAACTTTGAACTAGATCTGTAATGTGGAATTCCGAAACTTGGAACAGTACGCTGAATACGATACTGGAATTTAACTTCTGGGTCTATACTTCCATCCTTGTCAATTCTCTTAAACATTGACAAAAAGGGTAACCACACCTTTAAATTTCCATCATATATTTCAAGTTCAGTTTTTGGAAGTTTGAACTTCTGGCTTTGATTTTCCCGATCTAAAATTGAATCATCATCCTCTTTTTCTTTAAAATATTTCGCAAAAATGTTTGTAACTTTGTAGAAACTTGTTATTATATCCATCAACTGACTGACTTTCATGTCTTCATGCTGCTTAGTATTATCTTCTAGCAGAGGCGTAGCTATGCTTTTCAGCACCCAAGGATAACTGAATGTTTTGTGCCCCTTTCTGTGTGCCAACAATGGGAAAACATTTCATTCTAAAATTTTATAACATCAATTTGGCACCCTCTGAATGAATGTTGTGTCTGGGGACGGATGTCCCTCCTTGCCCCCCCCCAGCTATGCCACTGTCTTCTAGTATAAGCTCCATAGATTCAGGATTTAATTTCTGATGTTTTTCGTATTTTAATTTCACGTTTTCAAACATAGCTTGTCAATTTCTTGTGAACTGAAATCTTTTGTAATTTGATTGTACAATCGAGTGAAAGCACAATGAATGACTCTGTTTTCTTTATGCACTTTATCCATTTTAAATATTTTGAAACAAGAAAAAATACCTTTCTATCATGTCAGTGGGTCACCACATATCAAGTATTCAATGAAATCTACCTGATTTTGAATGTTCTTTACCGTTATTTAAGCATTTGAATAATTTTTCCAAGCATGTACACTTCACCATTTTGACAAGAGCAGCAATGAACTTTTTTTTAAACAAAAGTCATTTTCTTGTTAAACTAATCTTGCCATTAAAAACTAAATAAACCATTACCTGAAATGTAAAAATTTAAATATTGTCCATGAATTTGTAAATACGTTTGTCAATTTTCGACAGGGATATATTTGATTCATTGCTATGCACTAAGATCTGTTAGAAATTTTCAAAATGTTTTCTCTGTAACTATAACTGTGAGAGCTTGATTGTTGTTATTCACATCTTCCTCAAAAGCATATCAAGCAGCATACATATCTCAAGATCCATTTTGATTTATTGAATCACAAGGTTTCTTTTGGATCGTTTATTTCAAATTATTTTTTTGCTACCTTGTATGTAACATCCTGGCACATTTCTGAATACATAAATGTATCTGTCTGTATATGTTCTGATTGCAAGATACTATGATTCAAACTTTAAATCTAATTATATTTACAGATTTATCTTGGATCAATGGAAAATACATTAGGGCTCTCTACAGTGAAATCAAATGTGATAGTCATTATAATTAGGAAAAGAGGAATGGTTTTTAACAGCACCAAAAATTAAACTGAATTGATTTAGCATTAATGTGAAAGATGTCTTTTGTCAGTTAATATATCTTGGTATAATAATTGACAGAGTCAATATCCGGAATAATTTGTTTATAGATTTCTTTGGAAAAAAAAGGATCTCATTAAAATAGCTGAGGAAAACTATACAAAAGGGCTGTTGCTTGAATTATGGTATTTTATTCTGCATGGATTTTTTTTCAACCATGCAGTCTGTAAAAATGAAACAAAAAGCATTAGCAGTTCAAAGAACTGTGCTACTAGAAATGATGAATTGTCACACAATAGCTGTGCAGATTCTGAAGATAATTCCTGTAAATATCTAATTGTAGTATATGGAAAGTGTAATTCGAAAACTGATAAGAAAATGGGATCACTGAATTTTAAATAACAACTGAAAGCTTCCAGATGACTTTCCAACTCAGGAAGAATTCAAGTATATGATTGGAAATCTTTAAATAAGGGCAGAAATTGTACTAAAATGATTCCAAGGCAAATGAAAAGACTGAAGTATCATTTTACATGTTTCCAAATTGTGTGTATAAAGAAAGACACTTTATTTTTTGAATGGGAATGTTTTGATGTTTCAAGCATAGTTACTTGTAATGAAAAAAGCTCTGAGCTGGTCTGATCAGAAGAAAACAAATACTGAGATTTTCTCAGGTAGTCAAGCAGTACAAAGTCTCTTCAAAAATGTAATATACAAAACAAAAGCATATTAGAAATAAAAGTATTGAAGCATACCAAGATCTCCGTAAACTGCATTCGAAGTCATTGTGTATATGGAGACGGTGAAAAAATATGCCAGCATGCAAAACAAGAAGTTCAGCACAATAAAATTTATTAAGTTATCGACATAAAGCAAAATTTGCAACTTAAAAAGAGGATATCTAACAATAGCAAGACAAATGGCAGAATCAAGAATGAAAGGAATGAACGTACCATTTCTTCCTGAAGATTTTGGATGAATATGCAACAGCATATGTTGCTGATATGATTAGGAGATGTCTAAGTATGGCTAACAAAAGACAAAATATTCTGTGAAACATGGAACATTCATCGTGTAAAATAATGCATTATAGTAGGGATCTTTCTAAGAATTAATAAAAGTATTCTATACCAGTTCGGATTTTTCTTTAAATTTCAAGGTTATGAAAAATGTCTTGCATTATAGTTATTTATCACATTTATTCAGAATGTGTCTAGTGTATTGCATCTGTTGTTGCAAGTATTATGTAACACACCTTGTTGTAATATTATTATCTGAAATAATGTTATTGCATTCTGATATCGTATTTTGTATAAACTGTAATAGTTTTGTACAGCATATCCTTGTGTAAAATTAGTATTTGAAATGTTATGATATTCCTATACATCTTGTACATAATGTAAATATTAGATTCAATAGAAATCTTAATTATAAAAGTTCTGCTCGGCATTTCCTTCAAAAAAAAATTATTATTTTAAATGTTATGTTACTCTTATACATCTTCTACATAATGTGAATATTAGATTCAAAAAAAATCTTAACAAGGCCATCCAATCTATCCAGACAGTGATAAGCTCTTTTCCAAATTTAAGGCAGGCAACATTGGCTTGAATTTAATATTAACATACTTCATTAGCATTATTGCTTACTGATAATATTTCTTCTTTTGACATGAAAATTTGATAACTGCATTTACAGACCTGCATAAGGTTACAAATTAAAAAATATATGGTTAAGGTGGCATAAATGGATGTCTATTCTTAATATGGGTATCTCTTAATCTGGATATTAAATTCTTCAAATACCTGGTGGTTTGTTGGCTGCATAATACATCAAAATTTAAAATTTTGAATTTATGAGGCATGTTTTTTAAGTACTATTTTGGTATTAAAAACACAAATGCAATTATTTTAGCCATTTTATTTTTACATGAAAACCTGTATCTTAATCTTTTCTGCAACAAAATTACCACTGATATTAAGACACTTGCCATATCATACAACCAGCTTCTGAATTGCATCCTCTTATAAGTCTGCGCCAGCCATGGCAGCATGACTATTTTGATGTCATAATCATCATTGTCTTAATGTGCTTACATTCTATGGATAATATTTTGATTTTGGAGTAACATGAGCCATGCATGTTTTGTTGGCAGCTACAGTTTGCCTTGACATGGTTACCTTTATCATTGTACTGTTGAAAGAATGTTAAAGCACTGACTACACAATTAGTTTTGTTCTGGTGCCTGACATGAGAACAACTTCTAAATTTAAGCCTCATGTCACAATTTCATTAGAAATACTCCTTGAAACTTGAGGAAGCTCATCACATAACAAAAAAATTAGAAAGTATCAATTTTCTTGAACTTTTGCATCACCTTTCTACACCAAGTGTTCAGTGATGACATGTCACCCAGTTTACTGCTCATAATGAACATTAGTGTGGCATCTTTAAATGCTGTGGTCCATTTTCTTACCATTCCAGCATTCATAATTAGTACTGCATCTTCAAATGCTCTGATCCATTTTCTTATCATTCTAGCATTCATATCTTCTTCATACACTTCACTAATCTGTCAATGAATTTCCACCACTTAACCTGTATTTTGCATTCTGAAAATGAATTACAATGCATATTTTTAAATTGGCCAAATTTTAAGTTGTCTGAGGCTTATTAAATGTCCGTGGGGGAAAAAATGTTAATATGAATGAATACTTCTGTCACTGGTGTCTATGACTAAACAACATATGTAGGTATTCAGCACATGTGCATGGAATGGCAACTGCAATATTTAAAAACAGTGTTTGCTTAAAAAACACATCATAGTTATGCTGTTTGCATACTTATAAAAAGTAAAACCTTTCATATTTTCCATTATTTTGATCTTAATAACTTAAGCACAGAGCTAGAGATTATGTACTTCAATAGCAATTCAATATTTTTCTTAACTGTGCATTTATTCTTGTTCTGTATAGAATTCTTTTCTGTATTCCTTATTGTGTAAAATGTCTCAACCCCATTGTTTTGCAAATAATGTGCCATGTTGTTACTGTAGAAATATGTTTGGTGTAAAGCACTTTGCTAACTTATGTATTTTATAGTTATGTTTGTTTTCAGGTTCGAGAATCTCTTTTGAAAGCAGATTTTCAGATTATTGTTGAACTGTGGTTTACAGATCAGTCATTTGGGTAAGGTTGTATTTCTGTACCTATTCAAAATACGAGTATTAAAATCTAATGCTTATAATAATTTTGGTAATTTTGTAGATATTTTTATAATTTTTTTTTTAAATGGTTGTTTTATTTACCTTAAATTGATGGATATAATGCTAGCAGAAGGAAACTCCAAGTTTAACAATAAATCTTTTAAAATATTCATATGTGTTTTTTTATAATTTCCGTGACATAGTTTAAGATTTAGTTGTCCTAGTTCCATGAACTTGAAAAAGTGGACAGAATTGCAGAAATGCCCGAGAGGAAACACTTTTCCAAATTTGAAATACTTAGGCAATTTTGATTAATGACATTTCTTTCATAGCACAGTATTCTTCTTTCATTTGTTTTATTTAAGGTAAATAACCACTATCTGAAATTATTCATTCATAATAACAGCTAAGATATGTCAGGTAGTAATTCCCATCTCTCTTCATATAATAGGAAATGATAAAAATAGTTACTTCAAAATATGATTCAGAAAATTTCAAGTGTGACAAGTTGCAAGTGTAATTAATAAATATTTCTTTGTGAGTTATAATTTTAGTGTTTGTTTATATAGCTATCATGTAATAGTATATTGATTCGTATGTAACACTGTCAATTTTCCCCCCTCATTTCTTTATTATTAGTATTTTTATTTCTTCTCATTTTCTTATCTACTTCTTTTAATGATCAGTTATAAATTTTGTTATCATAAGTTATATGCATAACCTTTGGTCCTGAATGCATCAACATTTAAAGTGACAGGGAATAAAGCACTTAAGCTATTTTAAGATTAATACTGCTTCTCATTTTTCTGATTTTGTTGGTTGGTTGCAAATGATTTTTCTCGGATTATTCGAGACTTTCTTCTGAATTTTTAAGTACTTCCATAAGCTTTTACTGTACAGCCAATATATATTGTGTGTATGTTTTGAATTGATGTGGAAGTGTTTTTCTTGTAAACAGCAAGTTCTTTCCATACCAAAGAATCTAATAACATAGCTACTCCAGTATTCAAAAATAGTATGAAATGTTGGAGAACATTAATAAACCTGTCGAACGTAAATGTCTTGTTTTGGTAGAGTAAGTGTTATCTTTTAAGTCATTTTGGGTTGACAAATTCAAAATATTTATGCTGTTCGATATCAAGGTCAGGAAGCAGGAGTTCTCAGCCAGGGGGTCCTTTGGTAGGAATTTCACAGTTCTAGTGGCAGTGCAGTAGCAAAAAAGAAAATTTGAGTCAAATAAGGCATCAGTGTTATACTCACAAATGTGCAGGACTAAGTTCGGAGGTTTAAATAAAAGAACCTTAAGCTGCAGAAGTACCTGCTTTTTCTGCTTCTTTTGCACTTCTACAGCTGAAAAAAGTTCCACCTTCAAAACTAGCCCTGCAGATTTATAAACAATACCTTGATTCTTCTTGTTTTAATTCAACAATAATAATAATGTTAAAAAAGAATCCAAATCTAAATAAATGTATGCAGCACAAAGTCTGAAATCTTGAATCGTCGGAGCTTCAGCAATTTCAGGAAATTAGTTCATTAGTTTAAATTTAGTAAGATGACATATAGACTTGAGAACACTAGGGCTTCACTTATTCAGGTCGTATAAAAAATGCTACCCTTTGCAGAGCAGGTGCAAGCAGTGCAGCCACATTGGATGTCAGAATTTAGAGGCAGTACTTTCTTAGAATTTAGAATTTCTTAGAATTTAGAATTTAGGGATGGCTAGAACTTTTAGTAGAGAGACTGGTCTGTATAGTTTAGAGAGGTACTGAGCAGCAGAATTCAGGACCCACAGAAATTGCACTCTGTGGCAAAATGTGTAGTGCTGACTTGTCACTTAAGGGCCAAAATTGTGATCCTAGCCAACATCAATATGTCGATGAATGCATTATACTGGGAAATGGCAATTTTATTGTTTTAGATCTGTTATTTTTGTCTAACTTTTGGCCTCTGAATCCAAAAATAACCTCAGTTTGTGTATATCACATCAACTTTTTAAGCTACAGGATACCATCTCTTTGTCTCAAAAGTCATAAATTATGCATATAAAGAAAAATGAAGGGAAAACTTACCAAATATACTGTTCACAAAGAATAATTTTTTTCCTTTTTCATTCAAATGCATATACACTGATAGGAAAAGAATCTGAACGCCAAGGAAAAATTAATGTAATGAAACTTCAGCAATACATTTGTCTAGGTAACATATTTAACTGATTAAATTTTCAGGATCTCAGATTAATGTAAGTACAAGAAGAGTCATTTCAAATGTGAAATCCTGGTGCATTAATAACTATAATAAACAACATAATTTTGAATGCAAGCATGCATACGGGCATGCGTTGTGTGATTAAAGGTACTGTATGTCAGTTTGTAGGATGCAAATTCATGCCTGTTGTACTTGGTTGGCCAGTACAGGGATGGTTAATGCTGGTTCTGGATGATGCTGAAGTTATCATCAAATGATGCTGCATAAATGCTTAATTGGCGATCGATCTGGTGATCTAGCAGGCCAAGGCAACATGTTGATGTTCCGTAAAGCATGTTGGGTTACAACAGCAGTATGAGGGTCGCATTCTAATGTTGGAAAATTACCCTTTGAATGCTGTTCATGAATGGCAGCAGAACAGGTGAATCACCAGACTAGGATACAGATTTGCAGTAAGGATACATGGGATAACCATGAGAGTGCTCCTGCCATCATAGGAAATTGCTCCCCAGATTGTAACTCCAAGTGTACGTGCAGTGTGTGAAGGCTGCAGACAGGCTGGGTGCAAGCATTCACCTAGTGTCCTAATCAACACAGGGCCATTGCTGGCACCAAAGCAGAACAGGCTTTTATCAGAAAATGCAACAGATCTCCACTCTGTCCTCCAATGATCTCTAGCTAGACAGCACTGACATCACAAACTGCAGTAGTTTGGAGTCAGTGGAATGCACATTACAGGGTATCTGGCTTGGAGCTGACCTTCAAGTAATCAGTTTGTAACAGTTGTGTCACTGTGGTGCCAATGGCAACTCGAATTTTTGCTGCATTACAATGTGCCTCAGTTATGTGTCGAAAGTGGCGGTCATCCCTCTCAGTAGTGCCATGTGGTTGCCCAGAACCCAGTCATCTTAAGCCAGTACCCTCCCTTAACTGCTGCTGCCAACAACCATGCATCCCTGCAAGTCTTTCTGCAGTATCATGGAATGAAAATTTATCTTCTTGTAGCCCTATTACATGACCTGGTTCAAACTCACTGAGCTGTTGATAATGGCTTCTTCATCTTCTTAAAGGCTTTCTTGAGTAACATCAGCTTACTGCGTCAGATCTCAATGATAAATAATGCTCATGAACTTTGCAGCACGTATTTAAAGCAAACCTAATTTACATGTTCAAAGTGGCATTGCTAGTGCCACGCTTAACTTGCCTGGTATGAAATTTCAATATATGTGACCTTTCAGATGTATAAACATGCCTACCAAATTTCATTTGTCTAGCGTAACTCCTTGGTGTTAGGTCCCCCCCCCCAATAAATTAGTTACTGCAAGTTAAATTTTGTTCATACAGGCAGTAAATTTTTTATAGAATGATAAACATACATATTAAGGTAAAAATTTTCACTAATGTCCTTTCCTGGAGTGTTTGTGGATTCTCACTTGATGTTCCAACAATAGTCAAACATCATATGTACATCCCATCTACCTTAGTGCTGTGCCTCCATAACCTTCAAATCTTGGTGGAATCACTTACCTTGCTTATCACTGATGAAATCAAGATTTTTATTATTTATGTTGTCAAGATGGCTGTGTAAAAAATGCAGTTTGATGCTCATGTTCCAACTAAGCATTTTGAAGCTCTCCAAAAATTGCTGGGTAATTTTGCTGAAGTTCTGTGCTTGTGTATTTCCAAGAAAGTTTATATCACAATGTTTTTGAATGCATTCTTTTGAAGTTCTAGTATTGTTCTAATGAAACATTCATCTATAAGGTGCTGCTGAATCTGTGGATCATTAAACACACCGGTCTTTATCTTGAGCTTTAACAAATTGCTTGATGAAACCCAGTTTTATATGCAGAGGGGAAATATAATGTTCTGTCATCTAGTGGCTGATGTAGAATATTTAGATCTTCAGGTTTCAGGTTAGATCTTGGCAGCCATTTTGACTGCACCCGATGCTTCTCATGAGCTCTGCTAAAAAAACAAAATTCTCTACTAAAAAACGATCTCTACAAAAAAAAACAGGGATGCTTCGTACATCTGCATTGCTGACCTAGGAGGAAGCAGACTATTTTAAGATCAACACAAATAATCTATTGGTGCATATGCTATTGCAACAAATCAATGATTCTTTGTCTTCTCACAAATTGAATGGTCAATATTCTTCTCACAAACAAATTGAATGGCCTATTGGAACTGCACCAAATAAATTTCCATTCTGGAGGACACACTTCAAGCTCCACTTTGAGCTTTTGATGAATAATTCCCATGAGTGTGTTACAGGCTGAAATTCCTACCTTCCATTAAACCATGTACATGTATATTCCTATGAGCTCCATTAAACCGTGTATGTTATGTCAATACACACATCCACTATCACTTCAAAAATATTGCTGGACACACTTTCTCATGTCAGCCTTGTAAGTGAACAGTAGTAGTGTCAGCCTTGTGGTCTGTGCTTAATGCCATGGAGAGTGCCCACATTCACATGAGGTGCAGATAAAAAATTGAGGTGGTAGAAGGAAACTAACTACAGTTTTGAAATCAGCATGCCTATTTAATTACAACAGTTAAAAAATTTAACTCAACAGAAATTGTGTTACTAATTGTTCTCTGGTGTTATTATTGGCCACAGTGCGACTAGCGTAGCCAGTGGGGTCAGGGATCACCAATTCTTTTGTAACTTAAAGCACATTCTTGAATACCAGTGGGATGGTGGGCACATTTATTTTTCAAAGGTAAATGTAAGTATACATACACATAATATATAAAAAAAGAAATATT